CAGTTAGTAACTGAACTACATGAGTATCTACACAAGCAAGTGGTTTGCAAGGGACAGAAGGAATGCAAGCTATAAGCCGTGTAATGATGAAGCTATGCTTCTGCAACCTGCTACCAAATCATTGCTATTATATCAATTAATAAAATTGCTAAAATCATTTTAGAAAGACTCATTAACTAACAATCATAAAACACTGATGATACCTATAATGCTTAGCAAGCAAAATTTAATGAATATGAGCACAACCTTATAAAGTGTAGACATAAAAGAATGCTTTTGGTATTCATTGGTAGGAAAAATCTCCTGATCTTTTAATAATGGCTTCTCTTGCACTTATCTGTCTTCTTGCAGTAACTGCAGCAATAGCAGAATCAGCTGTGGCTCCTGGTACAAAGCCAAACATCATTCTGCTCTTTAATGATGATCAGGATATCACACTTGGTGGCACTACTCCTATGGCTTTCACTGAAAAGCTGATGTCCACTGGAGCTACTGTGGACAACTTCTTTGTCAATACTCCTGTTTGCTGTCCATCCCGTACTACAATGCTTACTGGAGGCTATCCACACAACTGGCATACAACCACAGGAGGGTGCATGCATATGGACACTGATAACGATCGCTTTAGGAAGAGCATCTTTGGCCTCAACTTGCAGTCACTTGGCTATACAACTGGTCAATTTGGAAAGTTACTTAATGGGATGAAAGAATACTGTTCAGAAAAGGATCCTCTTCGTCTGCCTGGTTTTGATTCCTACTTGACCATGTGCAATTATGCCAGGTACTTTGAGAATACGTTCTCCTCCAATGGAACATTATATAAAACAGGAACTAAACCAGAGGATTACCTTACATCAGTTATTGGTAATCACAGTCTTGATTTCATTGAGGCATCACTCCAAGCTGGTAGACCTTTCTTTGCTTATATATCACCTCATGCTCCTCATGTGCCTGCTACACCAGCTCCATGGTATGCTGATAAGTTTAGTGACATGAAAGCACCAAGAACACCAAATTATAATTATTCAGCAACTGATCATCATTACGTTATCAGGTCACAGCCCATCCTAACATCTGATGAAGGTGATATAAGTGATGCACTATTCAGAGATCGTTGGCGTTCGCTTCTCTCAGTGGATGACATTACAAAAGATGTTGTTTCATTACTAGAGAAGTATGATCAAGCTGATAATACATACATACTATGGACTAGTGATCATGGTTACCAGCTAGGTCAGTTTAGACTACCAAGCTGCAAACTCCAGCCTTATGATCACGACCTTAAAGTTCCTTTCCGTATAAAAGGGCCAGGTCTTAAACAAGGCAGTCACTCATTTGTAGCAAGCATAGTAGATGTAGCACCAACCATAATAGAGCTGGGAGGAGGCACAGTTCCTGAGGAAATGGATGGACACTCATTTGCAAGTCTATTGATGTCTGATTCATCTGCTCCTAAAGATGAAACAAGAGATAGAATGACAATTGAGTACTGGACACTTGGAAATGTCATTCGTAATCATCATTACATTGATATGCCTAACAACACTTATATTGGTATAAGACTAGTCAATGATACTCATAATTATCTCTACGTTGAGTACTATCAAGATGTGAAAGAGATGAAATTCACTGACAAAGGGTTTGAGTTTGAATTATTTGATGTAAGCAAAGATCCTTATCAAATGAAGAACCTTTACGGTACACCAGAAGCTGATGACCAGTTAGTAACTGAACTACATGAGTATCTACACAAGCAAGTGGTTTGCAAGGGACAGAAGGAATGCAAGCTATAAGCCGTGTAATGATGAAGCTATGCTTCTGCAACCTGCTACCAAATCATTGCTATTATATCAATTAATAAAATT